CTAAAGATGCATTAAATTTAGGTTTCAGTGGTGTAATGCTACGCGGATCTGGTATTTCCTGGGATTTACGTAAAACACAACCTTATGAAATTTATAATTACTTAGAATTTGATATACCAATTGGTACAAATGGTGATTGTTATGATCGATATTTAATTAGAATTGAAGAGATGAGACAATCTATTCGAATTATTTTTCAAATATTAAATAAAATTCCAAATGGGCCAATAAAATTAGATGATAAAAAAATTACTAATCCAAATCGAATTCAAATTAAAAATTCTATGGAATCATTAATTCATCATTTTAAATATTATTCTGAAAATATTAGTGTAAATAGTGGCGAAACTTATACAGTAATTGAAGCCCCTAAAGGAGAATACGGTGTTTATTTAATCTCAAATGGAACAAATAAACCTTATAGATGTAAGATAAAATCACCAGGATTTTTACATTTACAAGCATTAGATTTTATTGCTAAAAATCATATGATTGCTGATGTTGTTACAATTATAGGTACTTTAGATGTTGTATTTGGTGAAATTGATCGTTAAATTAATTTAATTTTATAAAAAAGTATGCTTAAACTTAAACAAAAAATCAAGTTTTTTAAAAAATATAAACTAAATCAATTACAAAAAATTAAACAAACTTATAAATATATGTATATATTTCGTTATATTGATTTAAATGTTAAAGAAATAATATTTATAAAAAAAAATCTTAAAAAATTTAATTATAAATCTTTAATATTAAATCAAAATTTAACTAATCGTATATTTTCAAAATTAAAAGGCCAAGGTCCCATATTAATAATTTATGGAAATTATAATTTTAATCTATTTAAATATTTTCGTAATTTAAAAAAATTAGAATTAATTTATTTAAATGTTAATAATAATATTTATTCAAATTTAAAAATAAAGCAAATTATTATGTCTAAAAATTATTCACCATTAAATTATTTAATTATTCAACCGTTTTTAAACTTTATATATTATTTAAAAAAAATAGAAAAGGCGATTATAACTTAATTGGTAGAGTATTAGATTGTGGGTCTAAATGTTGTGGGTTCAAGTCCCACTTCTCGCCCTTTTTTATATTTTTTATGTTTATTATGTTTAATAAGTTCATATTAATTTTTTTACTTATTTTACCATTAATTGCAGTTACTGTATTATCTTTTTCGAAAAATGAAAAATTTATAAAAAATTTTAGTATTTTTATGTCTTTTTTCATTTTTTTAATGTCATTACCACTATGGATTTTATTTGATAAATCAACTTCTAATTTTCAATATTTATTTAGAATAGAATGGATTAATCAATTTAATATGAATTTTTATTTAGGTATTGACGGTATTTCATTATTTTTTATAATTTTAACAACATTTTTGATTCCTATATGTATGCTAATTAGTTATGAAACTATTAATAAAAATATAAAAGAATATTTTATATTATATTTTATTTTAGAATTTTGTTTACTTATATCATTTAGTGTATTAGACATACTTATTTTTTATATTTTCTTTGAAAGTGTATTAATTCCAATGTTTTTAATTATAGGTATTTGGGGATCAAGAGAACGTAAAATTAAAGCTTCTTATTTATTTTTTATATATACTCTATCAGGTTCATTATTTATGTTTATTGCCATTATTCATTTATTTTTAACTGTAGGAACAACAGATTATCAAATATTATATTACAGTAATTTTGATTTCTCATATGAAAAATTATATTTTTTAGCTTTTTTTATATCATTTGCTGTTAAAGTTCCAATGTTACCTTTTCATATTTGGTTACCAGAAGCCCATGTTGAAGCACCAACTGCAGGTTCTGTATTATTAGCAGGTATTTTATTAAAATTAGGTTCATATGGTATGATTAGATTTTTAGTTCCCTTATTTCCTAAGGCTTCTTTTTATTTTACACCATATGTTTTAATATTATGTTTAATCTCTGTTATTTATGCATCGTTAACTGCTATACGTCAAACAGATTTAAAACGTATTATTGCTTATGCATCAGTTGCACATATGAATTTTATTATTTTGGGTATTTTTTCTTTAACTATTCAAGGATTAGAAGGTAGTATTATTCAAATGATAAGCCACGGTTTAGTTTCAAGTGGGTTATTTTTCTCAATTGGTTGTTTATACGATAGATATCATACGCGATTTATTGATTATTATGGAGGTTTAACCCATACAATGCCGTTATTCTGCGTTGCTTTATTTATTTATATATTATCTAACATGTCAATTCCAGGTTCAAGTAGTTTTGTCGGTGAAATTTTAATATTAACAGGTGTTTTTGAAGATAATACAACAACAGCTATTTTTGCTACTATTGGAATGTTTTTGGGAGGTATTTATTCACTATTATTTTATAATCGTATTTGTTACGGTAATATCAAAAATATGTATTTAAAAATTTATTATGATTTAACTTATCGTGAATTTCTAATACATTTAATATTAATTGCTAATATTTTTTTATTAGGTTTATACCCTAAAATTTTTGAGAGTTGTATGCATGAAAGTGTAACAAAAATTTTAATACACATCGATTTTTCATTTTTTTATTAAAAATAATATATATATATATTATTTTTAATAAAAAGCCCTTTTAGTCTAATGGTTAGGACATTGCCTTTTCACGGCAAAAATACGAGTTCAATTCTCGTAAAGGGTATTTATATATATAAATAATAATTATAAATAAATTTTTATATAATTATTAGATAATATGATAATTTAATATAACCAAAATGGCTATTGAATTATCATATATATTGGAATCAAATATTAAGAAATATAAAGATGAAAAAAGTTTACAAGAAACAGGTATTGTTCTTTCAATGAGTGATGGTATTGCTAGATGTTATGGTTTAACTAAAATTCAAGCTGGTGAAATGGTTGAATTTAATAATGGAAATATAAAGGGTATGGCTTTAAACTTAGAGCCAGATGTTGTAGGTGTAGTTGTTTTTAGTAATGATAGAGAAATTCAAGAAGGTAATTTTGTAAAAAGAACCGGTTCTATTGTTAGTGTACCTGTTGGACCCGAAGTATTAGGAAGAGTAGTAGATGCTTTAGGTCAACCTATTGATGGAAAAGGTCAAATTAATAGTAAATTAGAAAGTAGAGTTGAAGTTAAAGCTCCTGGTATTATGCCTCGAGAAAGTGTTAAAGAACCTGTACAGACTGGTCTAAAAGCAGTAGATAGTTTAATTCCTATTGGTAGGGGTCAAAGAGAGTTAATAATTGGTGATAGACAAACTGGTAAAACTTCGATTGCTATTGATACTATAATTAATCAAAGAGATCCTCATTTAAAAAAAGATGTTGATAATCAATTATATTGTATTTATGTAGGAGTAGGTCAAAAAAGATCAACAATTGCTGAACTAACCAAAACTTTAGAAGAAAAAAATGCAATGTTTTTTTCAATTATTGTAGCCGCTACCGCTTCAGATTCAGCACCTTTACAGTATTTAGCACCTTATACAGGTTGTGCTTTAGGTGAATATTTTAGAGATAATGGTAAACATGCTGTTATTTTTTATGATGATTTATCAAAACAAGCTGTAGCTTATAGACAAATGTCATTATTATTACGAAGACCACCGGGTCGAGAAGCATATCCTGGTGATGTATTTTATTTACATTCTCGTCTTTTAGAAAGAGCTGCTAAAATGAATAGAAAAATAGGTGGAGGTTCATTAACAGCTTTACCGATTATTGAAACTCAAGCTGGTGATGTTTCTGCATATATTCCAACTAATGTAATTTCAATTACAGATGGACAAATTTTCTTAGAAACTGAATTATTTAATGAAGGACAACGACCTGCTATTAGTGTTGGTTTATCAGTAAGTCGAGTTGGTTCAGCTGCTCAAATTAAAGCTATGAAGCAAATTGCCGGTACAATGAAATTGGAATTAGCGCAATTTAGAGAAGTACAAGCTTTTGCTCAATTTGGTTCTGATTTAGATGCAACAACTCAACAACAATTAAATAGAGGAGTTAGACTAACCGAAATGTTAAAACAAGGTTTAAACGTTCCTTTATCTGTAGAAGACCAAATTATAATTATATATTTAGGTGTAAGAGGTTTTTTAGATAAAATTGCTGTAGATAAAATTTCATCATTTGAAATAAATTGGTTAAATTTTATTAAAAATAATCATTTAAATATTTTAGAAGAAATTTTAACAAAAAAAGAAATTTCTAAAGAATTAGATAATAAATTAAATATTTTAGCTATTGATTTTACTAATAATTTTATTACAAAATAAAAAATTATAAAAATAATAATTTTAAACAAATTATTAATTTTTAGTAAAAAATTAAAGATATTTTAGATATAAATTATAATTTTATTTAATAAAATTATAATTTTTTAACTATCAATTTTTTT